AGGCACTGTCCCCACAGGCCAGGTCCCCAAGGCCGGGTGTCCCCAGGCCAGGTCCCTCCAGGCCCATGTCCCTCCAGGTGGTGTCCCACAGGCCGGGTCCATGCACCTTGCCTTCACAGAGCCTAACCCCACCCTCCAGAGCCTCTGACTTCTTCGGCACCTTCCCCAAAGTCACCTTCTCCTTCCACGCGGACAGCACTGACACACCAGGCAGGCCGGCAGTTAGCCGTCCGGCTGCCCCGCTCACTGCTCTGTGCGTCCTCTGTCTGCACGGCGTGGCCAGCGTGCAGACTGCCGCCTCCTGAGCGAGAGGCCTCACTCTTTCACCGTCACCTCCTAACTCTCCTGCTCGCCCTCCATGCCAGGCGGCCCTCTCAGCTCCATCGTGCCCGTGCCACCTCAGGCCTGGGCTCGGACTCAGGGGCTCCGTGGGCACACTGCCGTCACCACACCTGCCGACACGGGGCCTCCCGTGAAGACCCTCCCCCCTCCCCGTTCACAGTCCAGACTGCAGTTCATTCTGAATTTCCTTACATCTCCCCATCTTGCGGTTATCCTGAATGTCCCACAATCTCACATTCTTGGCAAGTTTTTCTCAAATGTTTCTGGGGCTCACAGGCCCTGGGCCCCCTGAAAGTCATCTCAAAAACCAGCGGGGCCCCAGGGATTCTCATGTTTAAGGGAAAGTGTCTGGGGCTGACGTCTGGGTTTGAGAAATAAGTTGAAGAGTGTGACGAGCCCGGCGGGGAGAGGGATTGAGCCTCGGAAGAGGAAACGTGTGAGCCCAGTGAACGGAGAGCCACACAGCGGCTCTTCTCATTTCGGCGTATTTGGGCCTTGAAGATGAGAAGCCGAGTTCTTATGGGACGTGCGGCAGCAGGGAGGGGTGTTCAGAGAGCAGAGGAAGGCCTCTCCCTCTGGACACGCCCTGCGATGTCCCTTCCTCCGAGGCCTGCTCTCGGCCGTCGCAGGGCCTGGGCCAGGGGCACTCGGCGGCTCCCGGGCCTGGCTTCTGGCTGCCACGGCAGCTTTGGCGATTAACCTCTCAGTCTCGGTGTTCTCCTTTATAGAATGGGCACAGCAGCTAAAACAGTGAGATGCTTGGCCACAGGAGGGTGTGCTGCTGGGGGCTGAGTGGGGCTGCCTGTCTGTGAGCCCACACACACACCCCTGCTCCCGCGCCCCTGCAGGGCAGTGGAGAGAAACGCACCGTATGTCCGCGGCTGACCCGTGGCGCCCGCTCCGTGCCCGGTGCTGGGGTGTGACGTCTGCTGTCCGGCCTCTGCTGCTCGCCTGAGCGCAGACCGGGTCACTGGGCATAGACCATCGCGCATCATCTAGGCCCGTGGTCGGCAAACCAAGGCTCACAAGCCACATGCGGCTCTTTGGCCCCTTGAGGGTGGCTCTTCCACAAATATTGCGCCTGGGTGAGTCTATTTTGAAGAAGTGGTGTTAGAAGTTTAAGTTTAAAAACTGTGGTTCTCAAAAGAAATGTCCGTCGTTGTCCAGTTGATATTTGGCTCTGCGGACTGATGAGTCTGCCGCCCACAGGGCTGGGAGCTCTGCGAGTGGAGGGGCGGTGCAGCGTTCCTCACCCCCTCCAGGGCAGAGCACCGGGAGAGGGTTGCCAGCTACGCCATCCTTGTATTTATTTTCCTTTTTAAGTGTTTTTATTTTTATTTTTATTTAATTTTTTTTTTTTTTTTTATTTCTGAAAGGAAGGAGAGGGAGACATAGAATCATCAATGATGAGAGAGAATCATGGATTGGCTGCCTCCTGCATGCCACACGGCGGATCAAGCCCGCACCCCTGGGCCTGTGCCGACTGGGAACCAAACCGTGACCGCCTTGTTCACAGGCCAACACTCAGGCACTGAGCCGTGCTGGCTGGACAGCCATTTTTTTTGAAGGCGTAGCATTTTGAACACCAGCCCAGCCATATCTCAGATCCTAGAAATCAGAGGAACCCGGAGTAAGTCAGGGCACCGGTGGCACGCTCACGGGCGGCGCTCCCAGCGGCTGCTCCGAAGGCACCTCCCGGGCTGCGGCCACACGGCCCGCCTCCCCCCACAGAGCTCTGCCCTGCGCTCGGCCAGTCCACCTCCCTCCTCACGGCCTCAGAGAAGGGGCGTCCCCGTTGGGGCAATTTATCAAGTGTTCTTCCGCCGGGGAGCCGTGAGCGCCGGCTGCTGGCCTCTGGGCGGCGGGCGGACGCTGCCCTTGGGTCTGACTTGTCTGTCGCCACGGCCCACGTGCCATGGCGGTGACGGCGGCTGCAGGGAACTGAGCCCCCTCCGCGTGCCTGCTAGCTCACCGTTTTCCCTGGCTGTGGGCTTAGCCAGCCTTTAATTTTAATTTAATACCTTTCCTCTGTGGAGGGAGGTTACCCCCACACCCAGACATGTAAAGCCCAGGGTGCAGGGAATACAGACTCAATTCCTCACACCCAAGCTCCCGACTCCGGCCACAAACCCTCCTGAGGTATCTCTGAGCGCCACGTCAGGACGCGGGGCCAGGAGCAAGGGCACGGGAATGCGTGGGAAAGGACTCTTGTAGGCCCCAGTGGTCACCCTCACTGTCACCTCGCCCCTTCCCCGTGACAGTGAAGTCCCACCACGCCCTGGCCTTGTGACGCCCCCCTGGCCAGGGCTTCCAAGGCCAGTTCCAAATGTCCCTCCCTCTCCTGCTCCATCCTCACTGGTTCAGGCTTCTAGCCCCGCCCTCCTCCTCTCCTCTCCCCTCCCCCTCCCCCTCTCCCCCTCTCCCCTCCCCTCCCCTCCTCCTTCTCCTCCTTCTCCTCTCCCCTTCCCCTCCTCTCCTCTCCATGATCGAAGCCAGAGAAGGGGAGAAGGGGCGTCCAGCAGTGGGAGGCGGGGGGGGGGGGGGGGGATGAAGGCGGGAGAAGAGCTGTGCAAGCACGGTGTTCATGGGACCCAAAGGGTACAAGCCCCCCCTCTGCGCCGCACGGGCCTGCCCGCAGAGAGCACTGCCGGCAGGAGCAGCCGGCCCGGAGGCTGCAGGTCGGACAGGGCGGGCTCGCTGGCAGCGCCTGGCGGGCTGGCACGGGGAGATGGCAGCAGCGGCAGATTCTCCCAATGGGCCAGGCTGCTGCTCAGCACAGCCACGCGGGTGCCGTCCGCCGTGCCGGCCCGGCACTCCCGCTGCCCCATGCCCGGGAACCCGCAGCGGGCTGTCCGGCGGGAGCGGAGAGCAGGCCTGCACGTCTGTGCGAGCTGAAGGCTGTGCAGTGGGCTCAGCTCCGTGGAGGGCTTCAGTGGGGAGCGGGGGGGGGGGGGGTGCAAGAGGGTCCAGCAGCAGCTTCCGCTCCTCTCGGTCCTGGTCCGAGTCCTGTGGCAGCACCCGTGCCAGGCTGGGTGTGCAGGGACCTACATTTTTTTCACTTAACAGAGGAACCCAACTTTACACTGTGTCCCTATTATAACGCATGTTGTTAGTCATTCTCTCCATTCCAGACTGCTAAATGCTTTGGGGTTCTGATTCCCACTCAATATCTAAGCCCTCCTGTGTTTTGTAACATTTGGCAAAAAAGATGGTTTTGCCTCTCAGCCCCACCCAGTCACTAATAAAATACTGACCAGAGAAGGCCAAGGCCAGGCACTCATTTCTCTAAGAGCAGGAGATCTCAGAGAGAAAAGTGGTTGTTGTGGCCAGAAGGACAAAGTGGATGGCTCTGATTTCCACCAGACATGACTTTTAAAATATGAGAGTGCAGGAGGTTTAACACCAAAATCCAGGCTTTTACCCGAGTGGAGCCGTGCCAACACCACAGGCCCACAGTGTCACACCTGGGCTCCCCTCAGGCCCTGACCCGCAGGTGGCAGAGTGCGGGCTCGCACTCTGTGAAGCCTCAATCCCTGGACCGGCTTCCGGAGCAGAGAGGCCGGTGAGGAAGAGACATTCTGGCCAAGAGCACCCTCCCGCCCGCCAGGCGCCAGAGGCTGCCGGACAGCGCGGATAGCACCGGAGTGCGCAGCGGGCTGACAGGTCACATGATGGTCTTCTCGCCATTCGCTCAGGAGGCTTCTCCTGGAACGTGTGTGTGTTACAGAGTGCTGAGCTAGAACCATTGTTTACATTCACTGACAAATCATAAAAAACACAAGTCATTATATAGACCCAGACCATGTATGTTGAAATGTGATAACTGATAATGCTCTTCAAAATTTTGGAAACTAAATAAAAACAACCTCATTAAGTTACTTCCCTAGATGACTATACTCTAGAACTGTTAAGATTTACAATAACATTTAAAAAATGACTTCACCTCTAGTCTTTATTCACCCTTTAAAAAAGCCTCTAATTAATAAAGTGGGTCGGTGACTCAACGATTCACACCCATGTGTCATATTTAAAGAGAGATGACTAAAGACAAGCTGATGCCAAAAATATTGGATTTTTCTAGTTAAAAAATGTGAAAAAAACTTAACTTTAAAGAAAAACAGATAATGGGGAGCAAATTAGCAAAGTAGTCTCAAATGCAAGAAAACTCATTGTTACTTTTCCCCCTCTCTTTGATTTTCACTTATAGCCTGGGCCAAATTAGAAGAAAAACAAATTTTTCACTGAACTTACACTTCAGTTTTCCCTTACTCTGGGGGAGAAAAACCCCTAAATAAGTAAACTGCAGAATACTTCATATCTAAATGGCTTTTCTTTACCCTAAAATCAAGTGCAATGGAGCAGAGATTCTGTGTTTGTCACCAATCCTTTATTGAAACTGGTAACTTACACACTTTATAATAGAACAAAAAAATAATGTTCAGTATATGCAGCCTTTGCATGGACTATTTGACTCTACACAGGCAGGGTGATAACACAATCTAATCTTCATAATAATTTGTGCAGAAAAAGAGACCTGACAGACGACGATGAACAGTACAGTGAAATGACATCACGGGTCAGTGGAACTCAGCCTGACACAGAACGCAGCATCGATGGCCAGGGACGCCGCCCCGTGCGGGAGGCGGGTCAGTAGTGACTCACCCCGAGTCGGAAGCAGAGATCTGGTGTGTGGCTATGAGTCTCTTCAGCGAGACCACCTCTGCAGACAAGTTTGCCATGCCCTGCTTCAAAAACAAGCTCTCTGGGTCGGAAACTTGGTAGCCAGTGTCTTTCATTTCAACAACTCCAGTTTTGAAACTACTCTGAGTTTTGCCCACAAGCTCTTTCTGATGCCAGTGTTCCGCCCGGAGAGACCAGTCTTGGATGTTGGTCACCTGCACTGAGAAAGGAGTGAGGGGCGGGGGGGCCGCACTCGGGGCGCTGAGCTTCTCGAGTCCGAAATGCCTCTGGGCCGTCCTGCCAACAGGCGAGGGGAGTTTGTGGGCGGCCTCAAACTCAGCGTCCAGCGCCTCTACTTTTACCTGCATGGCTTTGGCTTTGATGCGGAGCTTGTGCGGCAAAGCGGAGGCTTCTGGGACTTTGACCACCGCGGCGTGTCCGTGCTGCAGCTCCAGGGGAGAGTGGATGGGGCCTTTGGGAACCTGCTGCTCATCCTCTCCGTCCGAGGACTTGCCCACGGCGCTGTCCTCGGCCTCCGACGTCCTCGGGGAGTTGCTGGAAGACGGGCTGGCCTGCAGGAGGGGCGGGGAGTGCGAGTAGCCGGGGAAGGAGCTGCCCACGTAGTTCTGATACACGGCCGCCGCGCGGTAGACGCCGTGGTCGTCCCGGGGCTCGCGGGCGTAGCTCTCCAGCTCCACCGGCTCCTGCTTGATGGCCTGCAGCTTGCCGGCGGGGCTGGGGCAGCCGCTCTGGCTCCGCGCGGCGCCCTCCTGCCTGTGCTCCAGGGAGCCCCCGGCGCCGTCCAGCGCGCCCTGCGGGGAGTGCTTGATGACGGAGATGCAGCCGCTGGCCGCCGGCTCCTCAGGGAAGGCGCCCCCGCCGGCCGGGGCCTGGTAGTCCTGGAAATACACGGCTGCGGAGTTACTGAGCTTTTGGATCTCCTGGGCATACACCGTGGAGCTAATTAAACCAAACTTCAGTTTCAGGGAAAGCAGCTCGGCTTTCAAAGTGGCATTTTCCTCTCCCAGAGCAATCAGCTTGTTCTCCAAGACCAGGTCGTTCAGCCGGCGCTTCTCCCGTGACCTCTTGGCAGCCTCGTTATTTTTCCGCCTCTTCTCCCAGTACATGGCGTCTTTCTTGTCGTCGGGGATGAACTCCCGCTTCCTCCGGCACGCGGAGGCCTTGCCTTTCCCCACGCTCCCCTCACCCAGGAGCAGCTCCTCTCCCGGCGACAAGTCCTCGGAGACCTCGGTCAAGGCCGAGCTGAGCATCACCGCCTTGTCCACGCTGCAGCTGGCGTCCGGAGCGGCCTGCTCCTTCTTGACAGCCTGCATCTTCCTCAGCTGCATCGGAGACGGCACCCTCTCTGTGCAGGCGGGAGCAGTTATCCCCGGGATCTCAAATGCTCTCCAGCCTGCGGGCTACACCATCCATATCCTCCCTTTGTCTGCCTGCCCTGCCTGGGGCCGCCTCCGCCTAGTGGATGGGTCTTCCAGGTGGCCTGCAACACAGGAGGAGACACAGTTAGCCACTGGGTGAATGTCAGGACAGGAGCATACAGGTCCAAACAGCTTTCCTTCAGAGAACCTGCGGTCTTATAAAGGAAGGAAGTGCCCCGATTCCGAGACTGTAAGTTGTCAAGGACAAACCCGCAAGGAGACCTGGGGCGGAGCAATCAGTGTGAGCTCCGGGGAGTGAGCAGAACCCCAAGGATGCGGGGATGGCACTTCACAGGAAGGAAATGGTAAGCACCTCTGGTTGGTAAGTTTTATAGCCCTTGAACATTGTGGTGCTTTTAAAAAATGAACATTTATATCACTGAAAAGTAAGCAAGCTAAGCTCTTAAGAGGAACTTTCCCAAGTAAACTCCTTTACTATCAGTAAACAAATCCTATTAGTACCTACACTAATAAAATATGCAAATTGACTGTACTTCCACGACCCACACACGCCAATCAGGGATGGGTATGCAAATTAACCCAACAAAGATGGTGGGCTAATTTGCATATGCAGGCCCAGAGTGGCTGGGAGCCGGACAGCTGCTTACTCATGGGCCAGTGCCAAATGGACTGCATCCCGGGAACAGGCTTCCTCGGGAGTCAGGCTGCTCTGAGCCTCCAGGCTTGTGCCTAGCCCAGAGTGGCTGTGGTAATGGAACAAGCCCCAGGTCACTCCAGGCCTACATATGCAGGAGCAGCCAGAGGCGGGGAGGGGACATCCCCTAGACCCAGGCGCTCCGAGCCAGTGCACACACGCACAAGCAGCCGGGGGCAGGGTGGGAATGTCCCTGCAGCAAGCAAGCAGTCCTCCACAGCAAGCAAGCAGACAGCAGGACCCTGCTTTCCCCTGGCCCTGGCAGCGAGGGGCAAGCAGCCCCCCCCCCGCAGGACCCCCACAGAGAGCAGACAGCAAGGCCCTGCTTGCTCCTGGCCCCAGCGGCTAAGGGCAAGCAGGCCCCCCCAGAGAGCAGACCAGGGCCTGCGGTGCAGTCAAGCAGGCAGGTCTGCAGAGAGCAGAGAACCATGGGGAGCAGGCCTAAGCCATCAGTAGGACATCCCCTGAGGGCTCCCAGATTGAAGAGGGTTCAGATGGAGCTGAGGGACAATCCCCCTCCCCCCCCCATGCATGAATTTTGTGCACTGGACCCCTAGTATGGAATAAAAAGTCAAATGAAGCTAAATTCTTATTTCCCCAATAACTAAATAAAAATCACACAAACAACCAAGTTGCAGCTGTTTTAATCTGCCTCTTATATGGGCACAAACCTGTCCCCCACCACCGGCTACATGCACAGCACAGCAATGCCAGGGCCAGCGCTCCCGGTGCTTCTGAGCTGTGAGCAAGGCGCGTGCCTTTCTCTGGTCCTTCTACCTGACTTAGCAAACATGCACTTAAGAGTGAAGCATCCAAAGTGCTTTTTTTGATCCTGAAAATTCTGTCAAAACAGATTGCATTTATATAGTAGCTTTGGACTAAAATAAACCGTGTCTATTCAGAGATGTTTTTTCTTTCTTGTAAGTACAGTAGGATTCTTGAAACTTAAGAATATTTTAGGCCCTGGCCCGAGAGCTCGGTTGGTTAGAGCATCGTCCTGATATGCCAAGGTTGTGGGTTTGATCCCAACAGGGCACATGTAAGTGGCAACCAATGAATGCATGAATAAGTGGAACAACACATCCGATGTTTTTCCCCCACTCCTTCCCTTTCCTACCCTCTTCCACCTCCCCCTTTTCCTATCTCTCAAATCAATAAAATTAAAATATTTAAACTAAAAGAATGTAATAATGAAAAGAATTTCTTTTCACTTTACGAATTGCTTTTAAACAAAATATAAAAAATAAAACCATCAATTAGCTTCTCCTTGCGCTGACAAAAAATGTGTAACTTGAATTTGCCATGAGATAATAAACCCATTTAGGTCCCATAACGGCCTTTTGGTGGTGGTTTCTGGATCTGTGATGCCAGACAGATTTCTCCACCTAATTTTCCAGAAGGTGCCCCTTCCTGAAGCAGACGCGTGGTGGCACCCCCTGTGGGCGGCCCTCAGGTCCGTCCCACCACACCACCGGCGAGGGCCTGTTTCTGCTCGGAGCCACTCCTTCTCTGCAGTGCATAGTTTTCTGGTGACTAATGAGATGAAGTTCAATTTCATCAGCTGGAAAAACTGCCACCTTCTTGTGTCCTTTCCAGTAGTCATAGGAACAATGATGCAGTAATTTCAGGATCATAAAAATAAGGTTAAATGCCACATTTTTGTCTATCAAGTTCAGCCAACACGAAAACAGTGGATTGCGACTTAGCGAAACTTTGGATTAATGCCAAGTTTCTGAAACTCCAACTTTAACGGGAAATGTGGCAGGGAGCGGTGCAGAGAGGGCAGGGGAGGGACGGTCTGGCTACACTGGTGGCACAACACCTTCCCCTGGGCTGTCTTCCGACACTGAAATGGGCTTTTCCTCTGTGTGCAACCGTTTCTTTCCGCTTTGGGGTCTGTATTCCTAACTTGGTTAAAAGTCCCCTAAAGTTCGCCGAGGCAGAGAAAACAGCCTGCTCCCACTTACCGGAAATACCCCACTTGTCTTAAAGTCTCGCCCCCGCCTTCTCCCCAGGGTCTGAGTGCCCCGTCACTTCATCACCACATCTGCACCCGCAGAAGCCGTGTCACCTAGCGGCTCTTCCCTCCTCTGCACACGCAGCACCTCGGCGACCCCACGCGAAGCACAGGCCATCTCGGGAACTTTCTCTAACTTCACCCTCCAAACAGCGTGCCGGCTGCGTGGGACAGTCGCCGGCCGCACGGCGCTCCCCGGATGCCGGTGCCGGTCTGCCTCCCGTCCCGCCGGACCACAGGAGGGCAAGGCCCGGGCTCCCGGTGCAGAGAGCGGAGTTTCTACGGCAGCTCATCGCTGTCAGGACCTAACGCGGTGGGCTTAACAGTCATTGGGGGACCTGCTGTCCTGCAAAGCCCAATTAGCATATTGTATCCTAGCAACAAACTGAACATATTAGCTGCGCAATATTTCATTGACAGCAACTCATTTGCCTTTTATAAAGAGAGTTTTGTAACCAACAAACTTTTCTGATATTTTCTTAAGATATTTTGTAAATTCTAAAAAGTTTTATTTCTTAGCAGAGAGCTTCTCTTATTCATTAACTGATTTATCCAATGCCTGTCCCTCAGAGCCAGCCCGGGCACACGGGTGGGGGACAGTGCAGGGCGGGCGGGGTGAGCCGGGGCCTGTGCGCCCCGCACCGTGAGCTGCAGGTGTGTGTGGGGTGGAGAGAACACAGACCGCACCGCGGCCCCCTCACTGACACTCACCGTGCAGCACTGAGGCCTGGCCTGGCGGCCTCCACCCCACCATAACCATGTCCAGGTGGGGACACGGGACACCGGGAAGGTAAGGGGCACCCATCGTTTCACAGCCAGGCTAGCGGCAGCACACAGCCCCCATCCAGCCGACTCCAATCCGGGTCCTCTGGCAGCGCCCTCCTCACCACATTCCGCAGGCACCTCGCCCACATGGCTCGCCCTGGGCCACCCTCACTTCCCTCCTGGGCCACCCTCACTCCCCGGTGACACACGCCACCTGCGAGTCCTGGTGCCGAAGCCATCAGAACTCCTGTCAGGCACCAGAGGCGCCACCTGACCCCCAGCTTCCTGGAGCAGCTTCAACCCTCAGGTACTTAACGCGCAGAGCACTAACCTCTCTTACCTGGGCTAAGTGGTCATCTGGAAACTCTAGTCCTGCTGAAACAACAGAGGAAGGGAAAACCCACAGCGACGCACTGCACTCACGCGCGCGCGCGCGCGCGCGCGCACACACACACACACACACACACACACCCACCCCCGGGGCGGAGGTGCTCAGTCCCGGCGGCAGCGCTGTCCGGGAGCACGGGCCGCCGAGGGCAGAGGGCCGGCGCCTCGGCAATGAACTCAAACTGGGCGGCAGAGGCCGGAAGACGTCGCTGTGCACGTCACCAATGGCTTCAGGTCAAACCGAATGTCCCGCCACTCGGCCTCGGCTCCTCTACTCGGACCGCTGCATGGACATCCTGTGCCTCAGCCGCCGCTCAAGTCTCCGTTTGGTGAGTCACCGACCCTAGATGCCAACTCTGTGATGGTGGCGTGTTCAGCATGATTAGCTTCACTACACCCATTAGGTAATGGGGCTGCTTCTTAGAAACAAATAAAGAGAGACTTTTAAGAGCAGCGTCATCACCCCCGAATGGACACTTTCCGTCTAACGTGGACGTGCCGTGGCCAGTGCATGTTTTCACAGGACGTGACACTGTTTCCACAGGCGGGGGTTCTCTTTCACACGCCGTCTTAACATCTATTTAACACAAGTGACCAGGATATTGCTTTAATTAACATTAAAATGTGGCTCAGAAAATTCCTCTGCAAGAATAAACTCTATGACATCAATTCCAGGCCAGGCTCCTCCTGGAGGGGCCCCAGCACCGAGGTCGCCTGAACGGCTGTCCCGGCCTCCCGCCCGGGGTGACCGCGCTTCACTCTTCCCGGAGCAAGCAGTGGCATTTAGTCTCAAGCATCCGAAATCCTACTAATGGTTTAGACACTAAAACCTAGTATAGGGAAATTTTGTTATGAATTCTCTTTATATTGCAAGTTGTTCCGTTTATATATTTTTATTTTAAAATCTGTCAACTAAAGAAGGACCACTATTTCACATGCCCGGTGACATAGGGACATTTTTATATAACTATCTCCGGGTTCCGCTCCTCTCCCCAGTGCGGTTTCCTCCCTCACAGGTATGGTACAGACATCATTAATACCTACAAAGAGGCCTTTCTGTGCGCTGTGAGCCCTCTGGCCAGTAAG